CTTTTTCGTCGCGTTGTGATGACGTCACATACGCGATTTCGTCGACCGCGCTTTTGTGGAACGCCGTTTTGACGGGTCACACTGGAAGAAGGCAAGGCAGCAGTGCCGAAGAAAATAAGCTGAAAAGGTTCCCATGAATTGACAGCAGCTCAAAGGCAATCATATCCTTTTACCAGTGTCTTGATAAAGCGCACACACAAACAGAATCTTGATCTACTTAGGTGAGCATGTCCATGTAAGCGTTGTTAATGGAGGAACTGGAAAAAAAATCAAGGAACAGAGGTCATAACTAGTAATTTGTGGGACTATACCAGGGGTGGTATACACTTATCTTCCCTACCGGTTCACAAATGTGAGCACACTTGCACAGATCCTTCTGCACATATGCTTTTAACGAAAAAAAGGCCTAAATGGGATGCCGTAGAGCTGGGCACAGGGGGGGCAGAGCCCCCCGCGATTTCCACTACCGGTTCAGGCAATCCAGTCCAAATCGGTAGAATACCACCTCTGGACTATACATATAGGATTCAGAATTTTTAAAATAAGTCAATAGAAATTTCAAATACATTGATACTACAAGTAGCTTTCAAATTATCTATGGCCACAATTCAACCCCAAATTTCCATTGGTAAGTTAGACAGGTTTTTGGAGTGAATTTTGCCCTATTTTATGACCATTTTTGGTTACAATTGTTAAGTGAATCACTGCAGTTGATTCACTTAACAGCAGTTAGCTGTTAAGTGAATCTGGCTTGGTCTTTGACTTTGCTTATCAGGAGGTTGCCTGCAAAAGATGATCATAGGACCCCAGGACACTGCAACCGTCATAAATACATGCCGGTTGCCAAACGTCCAAATTTTGATCTCATAGCTACGGGGATGCTGCAACAAGTATAAGCATTGAAAAATCAGGTCCAGGCCAGTCCAAGCTAGGAATAAAATGGAGGCTGCTATAAGAAAGAAGGTTTATTGATGAGCAGAATCAACAACAGCATGTAGTTCTGGGACAGCTGAAAAAATGGCTGAATGAGTGGATGGATCTTTATAGGTTTCAGGGGTTTTGTGTTTGAGATGTTCCAGGGGGTTGTGCAATGTAAAGAGCTTTTTGTCTTTTACTATTTCAGTGTGGGGCTTAATTTTCTCTCTATCTCTCTCTATCTCTCTATCTCTCTATCTCTATCTCTATCTCTCTATCTCTCTATCTCTCTCTCTCTCTATATATATATATATATATATAATATTTGTGCTGATAAATAAATAAAGGGAGACTAGTATAGATCTATTTCAAGCTATTTAGCTCTCATCAGCTAGCAATGCCCTTGCTGTGAATCGATCCTGTGCACTATTGCCTCTTAGGCAGATGTGTTAACCATTGAGCTACAGAGCTCAACTCCTTATCATCTCCCTATCAATATATATATATATATTTGTGCTGATAAATAAATAAAGGGAGACTAGTATAGATCTATTTCAAGCTATTTAGCTCTCATCAGCTAGCACCA